GAAAATATTTACATGGTAGAAGGTGATAAAAATTCAAATATAGTCAAAAATTAGGTGCTCACATGAGTGAGTATAATTTTTTGTAAATTCACAATAGAATTATTTAAAATGTACTTAAGTTAGAAAATAATTGAAGGAACAATTTAAGTTCTAAACACGATGAATATTAATATTATTATTGTAGGCAATTAAAATTCAACGGATCCTCCTTTTTTCAACTAGTAGATTGTATTGAATTTAAATTCATAAGAAATTTGGATTTAATCTCAATTAAATATATTTTGGTCCAAAAAAATATTATGAGCTAATATAATTGGATTAATTATGCAGTCTAATACATGTGTCTTAAATAAAGAAGTCCAAATCTATTCGGCTAGCCCATTTAATTGGGCTACAAGTAATATGACTACTTCATTAAGCCCAAGATGTCATCTTCCTAGAGGCTCAGTTTGGTGCCACGTGTCAATTGACGTTGCACGCCAAGTCAAACAAAAGATCTAATATGATCATGCCACATGTCAAAATGACAAGACATGCCAAGTCAAATTAAAAGGCCAAAGAAGCCGCGCCACATGTGCAAGTGATATGTTATGTCCAATCAAATGCGGCCTTGTCACACTTCGGTCTGATTGGTCGAAAAAAGTTTGTTCTCATCACAACTTTCCCCACCCTACAACTATAAACATAGGTCGTCATAACTCAAAAAATACACCAGAAGTTGTAACAAGAAGCAAACAATCAAGTTCAAGTTCAAGTTCAAGAATTCAAGCTCAAGCTCAAGAGCGAACAACAAATCAAGATTCAAAGAGTACGAGTTCAAATCAAAGTTCGTGCCAGTTGAATTAAATATCATCGTTCGTGGCAACAAACATATATTCAAGCTCAAACTCAAAGGCCTTGAATCATTTACTATTGGAAAGAAGAACAAGATAAATCATATAGATTGTAACAATCAAATTATTTGAAATAAAACACTATGATTATTGTAATATTTTTTGATCTCGATTATCTTCTTAAACGCAAATTTACTGTCTACAATTACACTAACTCAACAAAGGAAGAAATGTTGATGTTATCGGAAACAAAATAAAATAAAAGACGCGTGCACATGAAGAATGTGTCAGTAGCCTCATCAAAGTAATGCAATTCAAACACCAACTAATGTTTCTTAAGCAATAAGCAACTTCAGCCACAAGAGATCACAAACAGAGAAAATATAAAATTAAGATATTTGTATATTTCCATTATTTCACGCTAGACCTTTATTAATGTTAATGTCAAATAAGGAACGATTTTCTATATACAAATGTATTTTAGGATTAAAAGTACAACATTTGAGTAATTTAAAATAGTGCATGTATATATTTGATCATTATTCCTTTAATTTATTTGATTATTATAACAAATAATCGTAAGGAGACAAATTTATCAATCTTTTGTGCTTTGACACATATCATTTTTTTTTTGTTTTAGGGCGCAGTGGTTTAATGGAGCAAAGTGGCAGGGTTTTGGAGTACTGCCATTTTTCTCTCTCTCTGTTCTCCTCTTTGTGTTTTTCGCTCTCTGATCAAACCACTGATAAAAGCTAAGCTCGTTGAGAAAAATACCCTGGTATTCTGCTTTCTGCTCACACCGAACAAACCATGGCTTACGTCGAGAGAGGTAAAATTAACCTCCCTTTTGTTCCGATAATTTCATCCTTAATTCCCTCAGTTTCTTTATTATTTTGTGCCCATTTACTTGTTGATTGGAATTGCTAGGGATTTCTGTCCCCCTTTTTCTTTTTGGTTTCCTTGGAGGTATCTTACAAATTCAAATTTTCCCTTACTTCAAGTAAGTAATTTTTATTTTGCTAAGTTCTTCTGAATTCATGAGGTAAAACAAAATTTGGGGTTGTAATTAATTGCATAGTTTTTGTTTTATCCTGTTCTTGATATTGTTGTAATGGAAAGGGTAATTTGCTTAATTCTGTTGAATTTAGGATGTTCTTGTTCAATTGAGTCTTTTTAGATCCAAATTCAAATTCTTCTAATGCTTGTTGCCGTAGAACTTTTATCCAACGTTAATTAGCTACTCTTTGAGTTATAAATTTTGGCATTCAGTTATCTGGCCTGGACCCTGGAGTATTCCACCCCGCGCCCACAAAATGGAAAATAACGCGAAAAATCATATTGTTTGATACTGGCGTTATGATTTGGTAAACCCTAGTGAATACCAAATTGCATTTCACCATTCTGGAAATGATTAGTAGCCACTTGGAATGCTAAACTTTGTGATTCAAATTTGTATGGTTCTGTTTTACAATTTATCAGTGCCTTTTGTCCCTACAGTGAATGAACTCAAGGAAACCATGATTCTAATAATTTTCTTATTAATTTTACTATTTTAAGTTTTCCAAATTCTCTAACTTGAGAAATGATTAAGAAATAAGGTTTCTTAATGGGTATGTTATATTATTTAAAGAGACCTATCAGTGCAAATTTTGGTTTAGATCTATTATTAAGTTGTGACTCGTTCCCATTCCATGAACCGAAGCAATCTAATAGTGGTACGTGGAGGTACATTCTTAGAGTAAACTTCATAAGGTCATAGTAGAAGCACCATAGATAATTGTAACTTGTTAGGTAATGCATAGAGAGATAGATGTCTCAAAGTTTTGGAAATGGAATTGTTTGAAATATTGACTTTTGTATAATTTTTATTTCCACTTCTACTTTAGGATAAGTAGGTCCAAGATAGAATACACTTTCATATAGCCCCCATCAAAAGAAAGGCTAAATAAGATTAAATGGGGTTGTGGTGTCTCAATGAAGACAATTCAGATATATAAGTTTAGTCTACTAGGAGAATGACATGGTAGATGAGTATGAATCACATACAATTAAAGCAGATTGATGAAATGAATAAGTGTTGGAAGAGTGTTGTGCAGTAGGAAGATACTTGATAGAGTGAAAGGCAAGTTTTATAGAAACAAATGTTAGCCTAGTGTCCCTAGCTGTAGTACTAGTGTTACCCTTGTGTTCCCTATTTTTAGATTGACTAATTTCTATGTACGTGCGTTGCATGTATATCCCTTGTCAATTTGATTTAAATTTTCTATAACAATGATAAATTTACTTGCATGTAGACCTATTAAATTTGAAAGAATTGAATATTGTTCAGACCTTCAAACATGGGAAATTAACTTAAATTAATTAGATATTTGTTGCTTTCACTCTATATTTCTAAATTATTTTTTAATTATGGAATGTCATGCTACAAAATGTGTTTCTTTTCTTTTTCTCCATTAATAATAAAGTTTCGAAGCAAATTGAAAAAAAAGGTCTTATGAAGCAAGAAATAGTCATATATTGGTGGTCGTTATTAGCGGATCAAGTTTTGTTTGTTTGACTAATGTTACCGGGTTTCTGTTACCTTCTTTTAGTTCAACCTTTATGCATGACAAAATTGAAACTTAAAGAGTTTAGATGTGTCTTATAGTTACGAAGATCTTTGAATGCATGATCCTAGATGGAATTAATCGCAAATTTGGTTTGCTTCGGAATACATACTCATCGTGACCCAAAGCTCCCCTCTAATGTCTCAGAGATCTTTGGCATTCATGCATATCACTCACAGTCAAGTCAACCATGATAGTCACTTTATTAACTTTCAAATAAACTTGTATTTGGGGACCTTATGTCTCTATGATTATCTTAGTATCTATGGGTCGAGAGAAGACCATCTAAAGAAAATATGAGATGTCATGATTATCCGAATAATTCTAATATCTCGTATTCGAATACTTTGAGAAGTCCCAAACATCTCCAAGAAATAGTGTTTGTCCCTAATTATTGACCAAGTCAATAATAAATTTATCATAATTAGAGAAAACTAAAGGAGATTATAAGAGAAGTTGGAGAAGTCACCCAGTGAAATCTCACATTAAAGGTAATGATAGAGAATTTATCCTTGATGAAATATGTATCATCAACCCACTGTTTCAATTACATCAAGTATCACGAATTAGGATAATGATAGTGCGATACTAATTCAATTGTCACGTTATATAAATAAGGAGTCTATTATCTAATAATGGCGAAAATATTCCTCCATTTGTATGCATTTTTTTTCAATTTCACGCATCAAATAGGTAAAGAAAAGGTAAAATTAAATATCCAAAAAGAAAATTATTAACAAAAGTGATGATGCACATCAACGCCTAGTATTAATAAAATAAAAGGCAAATTCTCTGCTTGACTGGAAATATTTAAAGTAGAAGAAGATCTCTAAAAGTTAATCAGTTTTCAAAGATTTAACTTGTTCATCAATATTGTGCCTTTGTTATCACATCTTCATTGACCTTCAAGATTCTTAAAAGACAAAGTACTTGCAAAGCAAATCAAATATTATCATTAGACTTTACTCTTAGAGGAAGTTCATCAATTTAACCATACAAAAAAATTATAGATTGCATCCAATATGTTAAAGAAATATAAATTTCCTATAATAAGTATTTTGCATGTAGAAGCACATATAAAAGACTCCTACTATGAGCTGAAATCATGCATTTTGATATCTTCAAAAGTAGACTCCTATTATGAGCATAAACAATACTGGAACATTGATTATCTTCAAAATTGAAGCTTGGTATCCGTAGGACTCCTTAGCTGAAATAAAAACTGCAATCACTTTCTGATCGATTGCGAAGTCTATCCAATATGGACGTATTAAAGTAAAATTTAGTTAATTTCAAAATCATGAATATTAACTAGGAAGAGGGTTTGGATGTTACTTATCTTTCGAAATAAATAATTTAGCTTTTAAAGGGTATAAAAAAATAATATTCGCACTTTTATAATAATATAGATATTGATAAGTTGGTATAGATAGAGATTTGATAAATCTTACAATAAAACAAAACTTGAGAAACATTGCAACTTGATTCCTTATTGCTCAATACTTTTTTCTTACGTGATAAATACGTGCCTTCTCCAAAACTAATTCTTATTTCATTCATACGGTTAAATCCGTATTCTATCACAACTCTGTCTCCTAACGTGTTGTATTTCCAATTGTGTCATTTTCTTATTTACTTGTAGTAAAAACTAATATAAATAATTAAGGGTATAAAAGTCGTTCAATATTTTAAGTATATTTTGGTCGTTCAACATTTAGCGTTGAACATTCGTGATTTTATAATAATATAGATATAGGCTCTCCTTTTTCTAAATGGCATTGGACAATATAATACATTCTCAAATTAAATTAATAGTAGGACAATATAATACATTTTTAAATTAAATTTGTAATAGGAATGTTTAAAGAAGTATATCCTAAAGGTAATAGGATTACATGGCTAAACATATTAGGATTATACTAATAAGATTCCTAAAGTTAATCATGTAGTATTTCTAACATGTATTATGTTCTAAAACTAATAAGATTACAAGGTTAATGTCTAGAATTTCGGTTATGTCCTTTATTATGAGTTATTATGCTTAATATTAAAATGTTATTTTTTTAAACCAACATTATATTCATGCTTTTATAACAATATAGATATATATTTTTTACCTGAGGTTCTCTATGTCATAAATGCTGTGATTTTGTTGTATTGAGTCGAGGGTTTTTCGGAAACAAATTGTATATACCGGTTATGTTGTTGTTGTAGCACTTCCATAGGTCCACTTCCTCTTTCACGTTAAGCTTCCTTTTCTCCCGCCCTTCATCGCTTCCACTTCAATTTCTCAAAATTCATACCCTCAGCTTATGATTTATTCAACATTCCGTTTATCCAATTCGGAATAGTAAAAAAGTCCATTTAATTTTGTTGAATTTCTATAGCTATTATTTCAAGAAACCACAACTGCAAATTCAAGAAAACTTCAAAGGTAGACGCTTCACATAGAGCAGAGCCTTTTGTTAAATAAATCTTGGAGAAAATTAATATAAAGAATGAAACTTTGATCTCAAATCAGCGCCCCCTTCATCCCTTTTTGTGCTATCTTTTTCTCCCCTATTCATACTCTTGTCTGTATTAGTAATATTAGGGTTTAGTTTTCAAATTTCCCTTATGGGTGTTCATGTTATGATCTTATACATTTTTTGTTTGTAACTTTTGCTTTTCAATTGTTGCAGGTAATTAATTACATCTCAAATTGCAAGACTCAAGTGTGTGAAGCCAGCGTTGTACACAACAGCTTTATTTAAAGGTTCTTAAGGCAGGAAAAGAATAATGTAAGTTAGTACTTTTTCCTATACCCATTTTTTCATCTCTTTCTCTATTTGTAGTAGTCCACGAAAAATTGATGCCATTTTTTAGTTTTCTTTTAGGGAGGGGTTGGTTCATGTGACCTCTATGCATATGTTTGACAAAATATCTTTCTCATAGTTGTAGTGATAACAACATCACATTTCAGTTTTTCTTTTATTGCAACAAGTTTATAGAAATTCTGGAACTATAACTTTTTTTTATAACCTCTGTAACTATAATATTTTACTTGTTGCTTGGTTTGTGCCGAGTTATGGTTATTTTCTTCAGGGGTGCTGTTAAACTGCAACTTCCGTTGCCTAAAAATGTTGATGGAGTGACCCTGGATCCAAACCCTGATTGGAGCTTTGATGCTTTACTGGTCGAGCTCAACTCGATAGAGAAGAAGCTCAATGGATCATCGAAATTTCCAATACCTTTTACCAAAGCAGAATCTCGGTATGCTATTTTAATAAGGTTTCTTAGTGAAATCACATCAAGCATTTTAGTTCCATTTGGATAGTAAATTTTCTGTGTTATTGTCTAATCTGTCTTTACTCAGAGAACTCTCGGCTTCAAAGAATAATTCCCGGAGAGGCTTTATTATGCAAGTGTCTGATGACGACATGGAGGATTTGGAAAGAGACACTAAGGATGAAGTTGGTGATCATTTTGTTATGGGGGGAAAACGTTTTGCTTGTGATGAAATCTATCTGAGGTAAGTACTCAACAATTGCAAACATTATAGAGTGTAAGAATGAGAGGAGGCCTATTAGAATAGAGAAACAAGCTGTGAAATATGTTGCTACGAATGCCCTTCCCATGTTAAACAAGCTCATAATTGCTTGGCTCTATAGTTGTTTAAGGCATTACATTTTTATAGCATTTACTTATTGAGCCAAGAGTTAGGACATCCTTAGCCAAATAAGGAGGATAGGTGTATGTGTGANACTCTGAAGAAGGCCTGGGCATTGAACTGCAACATGATCTAATGGATAAAGTGGGATTAGTAAAAAGTGCTTTATCTGAATTAGCTCATGAGCACCAGCTTACTATTGCGGTTTGTAACTTCACTTATGTGCTTCCTTAACTTTCTCTGTCCATGTCCACGCCTTGCTTCACTTAGGAATAGAAAAGAAGGGATGAATATATTAAACCGAATCTCTTTCTCTTATTACCTTACAACAGGAGGAAATGAGAGATCAACTATCATCACTTGAAGCTGAGTTAATGGATGAAAATGAGAAGCTTGCCTCCACACTTGAACGGGTTGAGAGAAATATTGAAGCTCAAAGGGAAATGAACAGAAAATTTGACATGCAGTACCAACGTAAAATGTAAGGCGTATTACTCTGATTTTGTGAAAAAAAACTTGCTTTTACATTGTTTGCATGTTCCTACAGTTTAATTTTAGTAAAAATATACTTTTGACTTCAATTGTATTACTGTAGTGCAGAAGCACTTGATGATCACCTAACTGCTGTACAAAGGGATCACGAACACAGATCCCAAATTGAAGAAAGGAGAATAAGAGATGATGCAGCTCGTGAAGAAGCCAAGAGGAAAGAAAAAGCTCTTCATGAAGAAAAAGCCCGGCAAGAAATGATCAGAGCAGAAGCCAAGGTATGTGTTTTACTCCTATCGAGAGAGATGCACAATTTGATATGCTCATTGGAAATTCTCTCATATGCTTAGTAGAAAAGTTTCTTCAAGGAGAAAAAAGTTTAGAAAGCTATATTTATCCAATTGCATTTCTGGTCGCCTGCCGTTTTGTGATTTTAGAGATTTTACAAAGTTAGCTATTTGTGAGAATCATCATCAAACGTGGAAGTAATTGTGCTTGTGTTAGTTTACTAACTTAATATTTATTGAAACTGTTTTTTTTTCCTGTGGCATACTTCTGCCAGTGCTAATGCTCACATTCCCTGGTTCTAGCATCCCTGGCTTTCCTCTGAAATCCAGCTGTCTATTTGTCTCCCCTCATGCTGCATCTATTACCAAATTGTTTGTGATTGAATTTTTTCCTTGTGGGTAATAATAAGTTTTATTCCATCAGGTGCAGGCTAGGCTGGAAGCTGAAAGAGTTGAAAAGGAAAAAGCCGCAGCTCTGGAAGCTGAGAGGAAAGTAGCAAAAGAAACTGCAGCTGCTGTGGAGAAGAAGGCATCTGAGTCATTGATGAATGCTCCTTCGGAGGCTAACAAGGTTCTTAAGGAAGTCACTAGTCATAAACATTCAGTAGGTATGTCTCATTGTAATCTTAGTGAGGGAGTGGAAATGGAGATTTGACCTTCCTCCTCCTCGTTTTCTTTTTATATATTAGGCATTTCATTTCAAATAATATTAACTTAACATAAAATGCTCTGTGCATGTCCCTTCGGGGACATCCGATAAAATTAGAATGACACAGAAGATTAGCATGATAGCCCCTGTGCAAGGTTGACAAGCGCAAATCGAGAAATGGTCATGATTTTTTTAACTACCTTACCTTATCAAAAAATGCTCTGTGCATAGTCTAAGAGGAAAAACCCTAATCGGTCCTTTAAGTATAAGCCATAAGGGTAGATTTGTTTTGATCATAAACAATCCTTTATCTTTGTAAAAAGTTAGCACTTTTGATCCAGGGAGATTGCAAGCTATTCACTGACGGAAAAGATAACAAAATTTAAAAGTTGGGAACTAGGCCTTTGGAAAAGAGACAAACTCTGAAGATAAAACTCTCTCCAAGAAATATTCCTAAGAAATATACTTACGAAAATATTCTTACCTGGGATTATCTGGGTCTACTGTTCACAGCCATGCTTTTGACATCCTCCATTGGGGGATGTCTGGTGGTAAAAAAACATAGTGGTTTTAGAGGTGAACTTGGGGAATGGAGTCTTGAGAACTACGTAAATATTAAGCGGGTGACTGATCAATATATATGCGTCTGATGAACCATCGGATTTTTACAAGTCACCTTCAAAGTTGTGAAACTTCTTTGTAGCCAAGGACCATGCAATTGCGGTGTACCGGTTTATGCGAACCAATGAGGAGGAAGTGCATGATGAAGCGGAGATGAAACTTGATTTGATATAGAACTAGTGTTGCTATTTTTCGTCAACAAGTCTAATAAATCTGTTCCAAAGGAGAAACATGGAAATCATTTCACTAATGTTGCCTTTCTCATCTGTTTTCTCATCTTTTTGAGTAAAATGTCAATCTTTATTCTGGATTAATGTTCTGTAATTGCTACTGCAGACTGAATAATAGCCAGTTTGGCCAAGCTTCTTTTGGGCCAAAAGTGCCTTTTCCCCAAAGTTAAGGTGTTTGACCAAGCTTTAGAAGGAAAAAGTTCTTTTGACTAGAAGTTGAAGCAGTTTTTGAGAAACAGAAAAAATAGCTTCTCCCCGAAAGCACTTTCGAGAAAAATACACTTAGAAACACTTTTTAGAAGCTTGGCCAAACACTAATTGCGGCTCAAAAGTGCTTTTCAAATTAAGTAGCCAAACACGAACTGCTGCTCACCAAAACTACTTTTGAGAAAAACACTTCTCAAAATAAGCTGATTTAAGAAGCTTGGCCAAACAGGCTATAAAACGAATTTCCGTTAGTTTCTTAGGTTGAGTAAAGCATAAAGGTATCCAAAAAAAGAAAATATTCTTACCAGTAACCCAATCATTTGACTAGTAAATATGTTCCTGTCTTCATCTCTATGCAAAATATATCTGTTCACGGTTTTCTTTCTTCAAACAGAAGTTCTCGGGTGATGACAGTCAATGTCATCACCAGGCTCCCACAGACTCCTTTCTTGAAAATTTACCTCCTACTAGTTTTTCTCCCTTTCTACCATTCAATTATCCAAGAAGCTAAAAATGGCCGCACAGAAAGAGAGAGAAAAGGGGGGGGGGGCTGCTGAGATTAGTATGGACAGACTAACCAATCGGAAACAGAAGAATAATCGAGAAAGACTTAAGTGAAGGATGAGAAAAAGTAAAACATTGATTCTCTTTTTGATTGGTTAACACTAATTGGCAGCAAAGTACTGCAAACTATTTACAAGGAATAGCCACATTACATATTGTGTAATGAGCTCAAGAAGTCAATCATGGCTGTTGTTCATTAGCACTTGCCATATTACACCAAAAGAACAGTAAAGAAATGCATTTATATACTTAATACTAATTACAGATTCTTTTTTTTCCTTTAAAATATTCTAGTGGTCCTTTCCTTCCAAATGATCCTCCAGATGACTGAAGGCAGTGAGTTCCAGTGCTCAGCTTATCCTTTTTCAGACCTTCTGAATACCGGTTGTGCAGTAGCTCTATGGTTGTCTTAGGCATTGTCCACCTGATCCCTACTATGTTAAGAATGATATGCCAGATCTGCATGGTGAATGAGCAATTAATGGAAAGGTGGTTAACATCCTCATTTTGTCTCTCGCACAATGGGTACCTACTGCATATATGAAGTCCTCTTTTCTGGAGATTCTCGTGAGTTAGGCATCCACATAATTTGCTAGTTTGATAACTTCGTCAATTGGTAAGCGAATTTCCGTAAGCTAATACTTGTGGCTTCTTTCTGTTCCATTAGTGTTGTCTCTTTTCCCATTAGTTCCATTAGTCCCATTAATATTTTTTAGCCCTAGGTGATATCTTTTCTGTTAGTGAATAGTCTTGAGACTAACCTGGACTAAAGGTGCTCACTAATTACAAAGATAAAGGAGTGTTCATGCTCAATGAAATATATAAAAGACCAAGTTAGAGCTACCCCTATATTTAAAGGACTATTCTGGTCTTTTTCTCCATAGTCTAAATATAAAAATTTATTGTCAAAACTTTACTACTTTTTATTAAGTCAACTGGATGATATCCTTTTATCAAATAGTGTATGATACGCCAATCTCCAAGTGGCAAGATGAAACATTTAGATGTTGTTTTTCTTTCTATTTCTAATGCTTGTAAATATATGCATAGATTTCAAGTTTGCAATTTTGGATATAGCAGGAAACACGATCAGGGTGTCAGAAAATGCTCAAAAGCTGGAGGAGAAAAGATTGAAGATTTACAATGAAATAGCTTCACAAAATGAAGCACTGGGATCGTGTTCTAACAAGGTAACCTTGCAAAACAATATTTGAAATTTCATTGCAGATTTATCAGACTATTATGCTTCTTGCTGCATAAAGTAAAGTGTTCCTTGCAGAGGCTCGGGAGTGAGGGTTCCTAAACAGTTACTTCCTTTATCCTAATTTATGTGACATTCTTCCATTTGGATATCCCAAATGTTTGACACCATTTTATTAATACTGTTATTCTATTTTACTTGCACAGTTGCTAGAGCTAAAAGCCATTGGAACTATATAATTGATGTGTTTTTGCTATATCAGACTAATTTTTCAACAACTGTTTTATATTTTTCTTTCACCACTACTAATACATTAACAAAAAGTCAAATTAACATAAACTCCATGGTCGGTGAAGTAGTCTCACATATCATGTGACAGAGGAAGTAATAACTTTTAAGGTTAACTCTTTCCCTACTAACATAATTATTTACCCATCCAATTGTGTTTTGGGAGTTGTTGGTCCAAGTTCTTGGAACTGCTTACATTTAACTATCCGATCCTTGCATGTTTGAAAAAGTTATTGAGACATTTTGATAAGTTCATCTGAGTCTTCTTTTAGCTGAAATAAACAACAAAAACAACTATGTCTCAATCCCAACCAAGTTGAGGTTGGCTATATGAATCCGCGCTGACCATGTTTCTCCATTTAAGCTCAACTCATGTCATCATCATACCAAATAAAAATAAAAGTGGAAAATAAGTTAAGTACATTTAAACAATAGTAATAATAATGATATTAAGATTTCTTTATATTTTTACTGGCTTTCTTTTGAAAAGATAAGGTAATTTATATATAAACAAGCACAAAAGATGTGCTGCAACAGATGAACAGTATTTACATAAGCAAAAACAGCAAAAGTATGCCCCTTCTAATCCTTTAGGGCTTCTGACATTTGTAGGACTGATTCTGTATCATTTACATTCTCCATTCTACACCTTGTGCAATACATCTGGATTTTATCCTAATGATAAAATTAGCAGTCTTCAAAGCATCTTCTATTCCTTTCGGTCCAAATAATCCAGCAAATACAAGGTATCGTATTACACCATCTAAGTTTGCCATTACTAAGCCCAATTATGTTCCAGCAGCGAAGCAAATCAGTTGTTGAACTAGGCATTACCCACTGCAGACCAATTATGTTCATAAAAGCTGCCATAGTTGGACAGTAACTTGGCCATGCAAAGACAAATGACGACTACTCTAGGGTTGTTTCCCGCATAGGAAGCATTTACTGCATAGAGCCAACCCTCTTTTTTGTAAATTCTCGCAAGACAGACAAGCTTCTTTGCTCACTATCCAGGTAAAGCAAGCTACCTTGAGAGGGGCTTTTGTATTCCAGATTTGCTTCCAAGAAGACACAGTAAACATTCTTTACTGTTGTGATGCCATCTCTGAATCAGTAAGCTGTTTGAATGTGCTTAAAGTGGTTGTAAAATTTTGTAGCCCTATCGATCTCCCAGTCTACTGAAGGCTCATTTCCAATCCACATATCCTTCCAGAAGGATATCCTCATCCCATTGCCCACCTTGAACCCTATTCTAGACGTGAAACAAGACCAGTGAGCTCTAATTATTCTCCAAATTGAGACTCTATATGCAGCTTTTACATCTATGGTGCATCATTGATCCTCAACTCCATTTTTTTTCTTAATCACACAACTCAAAGGGCATCAACCTCCGAGTTACATCTCCATAGCCACTTCATCAACAATCTTCTATTGTGTTTTTTGAGGTTTTTAATCCTCAGTCCACCATTTTCCTTAGCCTCGATAGGTTCCATTTCACTAAATTAAATATCCTCTGTTCTTTATTACCTTGCCAAATAAAGTTCCTGTGTAGCTTGTCAATTCTTTTCTCAACCTTAGTAGGCAAAGAGAAAAGAGACATCACATATGTTGAGCCCAGCACACTGATAACTAGTACCAATCTTCCTCCTTTGATAAATACTGCTTCTTCTAGCTTACTAGCCTTCTTTCACATTTCTCCTAGACCGCTTCCTATATGCTATTAGCTCTATGCTTGGCCCCTAAAGGCAATGCTTAATAGACAGTTGGCCGAGTGCCAACCTGACGTCCTAAAGTTCCAGTAGATCTGCTGCAATTTGTGATGACATTAACTGGATATGAAAAGCTTATTCTCCGGTTAACATGAAGACCATAAATTGCTTCAAAATATTCAAGTTTGAGCCGCAGCTGCCTAAGTTGCTCAATCTCCGCATCAGACAACACCATAGTAGCATCAGCATACAATAAATGTGAGATTTCCATGGCATTTTGGCTACTATATTGACTCTGAATCCTCTTATCCCTCCATTCACATATGTAACAGATAGCATTTACTAAAATATTCCTTCACCAGTAAAAATAAGAAAGGAGAAAGAGGATCTCCTTGTCGTAAACCTCTTTGAGCTGCAAAAAAAAAAAAAACCACTGGTTTCCGATTAACAAGGACGGAATGTCTAACTGTACTGATGCAAAAGGAAATCCAGTTGATCCATCTTCTACCAAATCCCAAATCCTCAAGTATGTTCATCAGAAAGTTCCAATTAACATATCATCAGCTTTCTCGATGTCTAACTTGCAAACAATACACTGCTTGTTGCTTTTCTGTCTAGAATCTAAACATTCATTAGCAATGAGAGCCGCGTCCATATTTTCCTAACTCTTATAAAAGCTTATGTCTCAAATCCCTCAACTCGACAACAATATTTTTTACTGGCATAGAAATCTATGATAAGGTCAAAATACTCCTAGAAAAGCAATAGGTCCAAAATCAACGTATTAACAAGACTAAAACTTGTTCCCAAGTAGTAGATTTCACTTATATGGATCTGTTTCTTCATTGTGCCTATCTTTAGCCAAGTTTTGATTGATTCCATGTAATTGTAGGTCTTTCAAGATAACTTCCTTCCATGTGATTTTAGGCTACCTCGTCCTCTTTTTAACACCTTCACTCCCGATAGTTTCACACCTATGGACCGCTGCATCTGTAGGTCGACGAAGGACATCAACATACCATCTCAAGTGATCTTCTCTCATTTTATCCTAAATGCGTGTTACTTGCACCTTCTGGCTAATATGGTAATTTTTTAATAAAAGAAAAAGAAATAGTTGCTTGTTTAGTTGGAATCTCATCAGATGCATTTTGAATTATTATATTCCATCTTAGCGTACAGAGCTTTAGTCCAGAGTTCTATTTGAGATCCTAAGGATGTTAATTTGGGTTTAGTAATTTCTGATATTTTATAAACTACTACTACTACTACTCCACAATCCGGATTTGGGGTACTTCTGATATTCTGTAGTTTAACACAAATTCTTTCTTAACAGGCTTACCGAAAATATGAAATGGAAATAGCCAGGCGAATCAGAACTATCACTGGTACAAAAGAAAATGTCAGGTACCTGGATGCTCATCTCTTAGATTGTTAGCCCTATCTCCTGTAGCTTGAATGATTTTTCTTGTTGAAACCATTTTCTACCTCCCATATTTAAGTCACGTATTTGGTTGCTTTGACCTATATTTTTGAACCACTTTTGGGAATAAACTTCATGAGGTGCAAGAACTATATTGCTGTTTGATACATGTATGTTACTTTTCCTTGTGCAGAGTGAAAGCAGATGAATTAATTAAGCTAATCAGTGATTCAACATGTCCACAATCCATCAGCATTGCGATGTTTGCACAGAAGGTAAAATCCTGAAGTACTTCAACTGGGATTTTTTCTTTCGGTGTCTCTTATGATGTCATTGTTTTTACTTCTTTCTCTTTTTCCTTTTTACTTTCGAGAGGGGCACAGGACGGGGGCGGATGTTGGGGGTTTGGGGTTTGCATATGTTTATGCTTGTAGAAAATTGTGGGTTCTTGATGCAGCAGTTGATTAGTGTGTATTGAATATATTCTACTATTTGAGCTTTGCCCAAACATATAAGGATATTTACTGTGATTATGGTTTTCAATTTTATAGGTTGTGTCCCTGTGTGTGAACCCTACAGGAAGCTTTAACAGTGCCGTCTATGCGTATGGTCGTGTAATTGTCCTTGTTACTTCAAAGGTAATTGTGATATTGTTCTGGTCCTCTTGCTATTATAGGTCAATATTAGTTCTTGTTGTCTTATAATCAGGAGATCAACGTCAATAGCTGAAAAGAAAGCAGTTAAAGCATTTTTGTTCCTTCACTAATCAGTAAAAAGCCAATATGCTTTCATCTAAACCTAGTCATGCTCAGTCCCAGATTGAGTGTCATGTTTTGACTTCACATTAAGGGTGCTTGTTTCTTATACCAAACTTTCTAACCTAAACTTGTTCTCCAGAACCAAAACAAATTGGGGTCTCAAATTGTCAGGCTAGCCCCTCCGCTGCCAGTAAAGTGGCTGGTTAAGTACTGGTTACATCTCCACTTTACACTTTAGACTACCGCTTTCTTTTTTCTTCAACAAAATATTTGTTGTTTCTCTTCAACCAAATCTTTTAATTTTCACCCATTTGAAGGCCTAAAAAATTGCTTAGGGATTTAGTGATACTTTTACCAAAAGCCATATCCAAACACAAACCCGAAACTAAATTTCCTAAAACCACCAAAAATAAAATTGTTTTCTATCCAAACGCAATATCCAGACCTGAGGCCAAAAGGTGATTTGCTGGAAAAAATGGGGGATACCTTCGAATTTAAAGTAGATGTCAGGAATTTCTGACGAAGGGAAATCTAGAGGTTGTATTGATAGCGCAAGAAGGGCTCTAGGATTGTTAAACAACATAAAAAGGTTTAATTTAGGACTGGAGACTTTAGTGTTTGAAAAGGGATCATGAATATGGATCAGAAAGTACTAACTAATGTAGATTACCATCCTTACATATTGGTTTGCTTTTCATCACAGGTCCCTCTTGCCATGGATGTTCTCATAGGCGAGTTGAATAAAGTTTGCATTTACGCAGTTCCTAAGTACATTATTTACTCAGAGGTACTTCTTGTTTACCTTAGTATTACCTGTTTGGCATCTACACATCTCATTGTTGTCTTTTGTGGAATTCTTTTTACTTGATTGTCTTGGAGCATGCTATTTCTTCAATTAAGTGGTGAGAAAAGAACTTGTCGCAGACATTAGTTAACCTTCTTCACCCCATGATTCACATCGTACTATGCTACCTCCACGAAAATTAACTTTGATGTGTTCTTTCACTTCAGGCAGCATTTCAGACAAAAGAAGCTTATTACAAAGCTATTGGCTATGCAGAGGAAGATGGGAAGATAGAAAGTACTGATAGTTATGTGGATCGCTTAAGTGCATACATGAAATTATATGGTGCTCTTGTTCAGGTCAGTTGCTTAGACATTTGTTACTTTTATCTTCAAGAATCCTTAATGCTTGTGTTGCCGACACTATCGTCTATCTTACTCTTTTGGGAAGATAGTGGTTTTGGTCTCTGAGTTTTGCTTTATTCCGGTTTTAGTCCCTGCATTATTTGCATGATCATATCTGACCTTCAATTTAACAAATGTGCGATTTTGGTCCAATCACTCATTGAAACTACCAGAACATCAATTTGGGTTCAGTCGTTTCTCCATCAACCTGGCCATTCTTCCTCCTTCAGTTAGCACCAACATTAGCAGTTTCTATGCATTGATGATTTCAACTTGAAAATAAAGGGAATACCAAATATACATATAATCATCATAATTCGTGCCCATCATCTTTTTGAGTTGTGGTTTACTTCAACTTCTTGTTAGGTTCCCTTTAAAGCCTCCAAATAGAGATCCAATTCTCTTTGAGAATGTGTGTGCCCTTCAAAATGGAAATTATGTTGGCATTTCCACCTACATGATATTTGGAGCGGATCAGTGCTAAGTTGATACTCTAAGTTCAATAAGAAGCCATCGCTAGTGTGATAAACCCATCTTCGTCACTCGCTATAAGGAACACAAAATTGAGCATGACGAATATAAGTTGGGGACTTTTGTATGCATGTCTGGTGTATCTTACTGGTTAACATTGATTGCGATTTGCGACGGGGTGCAACAAATGAAGCCCTAAGGGCTAAAGAGCTCCGTGAGAAGAAAATCCAGAATTATGACTTTGAAGGGACTCAAGAGGTTGCATTGAAATCTGAAGGACTTTACCCTCAACTATAGAACATATCTCAACTACTTGTCTCTAATGTTCATTTTCTAGCTCAGAGCAGTGGAGTGGGATTAAAAGAGATCGCAATGGATCCCTCATGTTGATAAAGTCACCATTAGACATCAATACTGGAGACTTGTGCTTCATCCAAACAAGAGCCTTTCCAGGTGCAGAAGCAGCTTTCATGTTAGGTTGGGGAAGTAGATGTGGTGCTCTCTGACCCAGTAAAAGAGCTTTGTATGATAGAAAGTGCTGAATTTTATCCGAGGTTACAGAAGCAAAGCCCCTATCTCATCAGGTTATTCAAAATCCACCAGTTTGACAAAACAATATTTCAAATGATTTAGCATTCAGTTCAGTATCTGAATCACTGTCCACAAACAGAACCAACTTCATCAGCAGAGCAGGAAACATTCTGGACAAGATGTCCTTTTTGCAATATTAGTTACCAGTGCTACAGGTTGTGAACCGAGCAGTACGCTGCCATAAATGATCAAAGCCATATGAATGTGCTTGCCCAAACTAATATTTGTTATTCCACATATAGGAATTTTGTTAAGGGAGTTCTTGGTGCAGAGCTCCTTTGGCCTGAGGTTTGATGGAGAAGTGACAAGAATCCCATACTAATATTTGTTAGTAGAATATGACATCCTGTTATATTTATTTGGTGATTGGACTAGAACTGCACATTTTGTTTAATTGGAGGTCAGATGTGCTCAGCCAAATAATACAACAACAACAACAAAAAAAAAAAAAAAAA